TCAAGAACACTTCACCAGAAAAAGTGACTGAAAGATTCAATGGCAAATGTTAAAGACAAAGCGAGCTCAAACACGGTGCAGCAGTCACGCCCAGCGCATGGAATTACATCAGCTCCAGTGCGACAATCTTCCATCCGCCGATCTCCGCAAATAAAAGAAAAAGTTTTTCCAATTACTTCATCAGCAAATTTTTCGAGTAAAACAATGCAGACTTACACTAAGCAAACTCGCTCTCCCTCCTCCAACACTGCTAGCAGATGATGCTGGTGGTAGCGGTGGCGGTGGTGGCGGCGGTGCGTTGCCGGATACTGCTGATGACGATGATGACGGTGGTGGGGGTGGTGGCGGAGGTGGTGGTGGCGGTGGTGGCGGAGGTGGAAGAAGAGATGACGATGCTGCAAATGTGGTACTTGGCGGTGGTGGTGGTGGTGGCGGCGGGGGAGGAGGAAGAGATGACGATGTTGCAAGTGTGCTAGCTGGTGGTTGGGGCGGCGGTGGTGGGGGAGGAGGAGGTGGCGGCATATCATTCGGCCGATAAGTTGCTGGAACACCGTTCATTGAACTTGGCGGCTAAAATAAAAAGCACAGATGGACAAGTCCAATTGCACAAATTCATGGCGGCTAAATAACCAGCACAACAGGGTCACTTTTCTATTTCATAGCACTGATAATGGCTCGAATACAGTAACCACGTAAATTACTGAGCTGAGCTGATGACACAAACTGCATGAGAGAGTACCCCCCAACAAAGTATTAATGTATCCTTACACGCGGTAAAGGTCTCGTCGGCGGTTTGCTTACAGCAGGCGGTCTTTGCGGCGGTCTTGAAACAGGATTTGCAAGATATCCTTCGCGTCGCAATGGCGGCGGGGGAGGCGGCGTTGCTGGCGTCGATGAAGTCGAATTTGTTACTGAAAACGGCGCATAGGACCTGAAACATATATGACTTTGGCTTTTCAGTTCGGATAATTATATCCGATTATCAAGGTGCCCCTTTTACGATGAGCTGTCATTTCACTGGCGCGGTCGCTGTGATCGATGCTGCATCATCTGGTAATTAGCCTGCTACTGCTGGGAACCCAGTCAGTTGTTAGCATTCTTTTCCTTTTGGTCTTTGAACAGAAAACGAGAGATGAATCACTTCCACTCAGCCGCTCTTGTTGTCCTACAACTCAACTACAACGACTATAACTTGCAGGTGATGCATGCTAAAAGTAAGTCACACCGGAGCTTTCCAGGGACAGTGCGATGCAAGCTGTTTAAAGCCACATTAGTAGATAAGTTGCGCATCTATCCGTACAAAAGCGTACGCCTATAAAACAACAAGATGCACGGAATGAACCAGAAGAGAAATCTTAGAGATCCGACACAGAAAAGGTCATTTCAAGAAAAACATCCGACACATACCTCGGATGGCCCGGCTGCACAGAAAC